GCCGGGGGCGGGGCTCCCGGGCCGGGGGCGTTGGCGCTGCGGGCCGAGGCGCGTCTGGGGGTCGCTAGACCGAGGGGCGTCTGGTGTACGTTTGGGGTGCATGAGGCGGGTTCAGGGAGGGGCCAAGGGGAATTGAGAGCTGATAGTTTGGGGAGCCGAGAGATCTCGGGAGGCCTAAGGGGTACAGAGATGGGACAGGGGGGCTTCGGGGGGGTCCTGGGACAAAGGAGAGTTTGGGGGTCTTAGAAGAGGCATCGAGGGGAGTCGTGATGAAGCTGAGGGAGTGTGGGGAACTGAAGGGAGCCTGGGGGAGTTTGGGGGAGCGGTGGAATCCAAAGAAGACGTTTGGTAGGGAGGCCAAGGGAGACTGGGGCCTGAGGAGGGCCAGAGGATCCCAGCAGACCGAGGGAAGCCTGGCATGGGGGCAGGGACTCTGGGGATCCGATGTGGGTGTCAGTATTGGCCAGGCCAGCGTGGGGCTCTGTGGGGCTGAGCAGCGTCTGGGGCAGGGCTAGTGATGACGTCCCGCTCCCAGTTAAGAGGAGTACCCGGAAGTCCCCGGGGAAAGACAGCGCGTACACCGTGCACAGTGAGGCCCCCAGTCTTGGGAGTGGTGGAGCTGCAAAGCCTTTCTCTCCCTGTTCAGGCTGCAGGTGCCAACCAAGTCAACCTTGGAGGCTTCCAGCTCCTGTGCTGGTTCGGAAGCCCCTTTGATACCATAAAGGCAGCGGAAATAAACAGGTTAAAATGACACTTCTCACCACCACTGTAAAGATGCATCTATATCCCCCACTGGGTTGTAACTTCCCAAGAGATGAGGCCCATCTCTTTCATCTCAATATCCTCCACAACTTCCCACACATGTAGTAGGCCCTTTTGTGTACTAAAAACCAAACATTATTTTCTGATAAAGTACTTGTAATGATTTTAATGGTAAGCATGTTTTAAGCCTGTGTTGTCCGATAGAAATAAATTGCAAGCCACATTTCTAATTTTACATTTTCTAGTAGCCACTTTTAAGATGAAAAAGAAATGAGAAATTCATTTTAATGTTTTCTTTAATCTGGACTGGCTGGTTTTCTCAGTTGGTTAGAGCACAGGCTTGTAACACCAAGGTCAAAAGGTTCAGATCCCTGTGCCAGCCAGCCACCAAAAAAAAAAAAAAAAATTTTTAAAAATCCATTATATCTTAAAATAATATTATTTCGATATTTAATTCATAGTAAAAATAGTAGTGAGATCTAGCTGGTTAGCTCAGATTGTTAGAGCACGGTGCGGATAACACCAAGTTCCAGGGTTTGATTCCTGTACTGGCCAGCTGCCAAAAAATGTCAGATATTTTACTTTTTTTTTCTGGTAGTTGGTTGATATGGGCATCTGAACCCATGACCTTGGCTTTACAAGGCTGTGCTCTAACCAACTGAGCTAACCTGCCAACCCCCTGATATTTTACTTTTTGATACTAAGTTTTCTAAATCTGTGTGTATTGTATTTTACACTTACAGCACATCTCAAATTAGGCTAGCCCTTTTCTGTGCTCATGTGTCTAGTGGCCACTGGACTGGACAGTATAGTTTTTTGTTTGTTTTTTAATTGAAACATAATTGATTATACATGTTTGTGGGGTACAGAGTTGAATATCAGTACCTGTGTAAAATATGTGATGATAAAATCAGTTTAATTAGTATTCATCATTACAGAATGTAAGCATTCTTTGTTGGACAGTATAATTCTAAGTGCTTTTATTTTATTTTTGGTGGCCGGGTGGTCTAAGTGCTTTTAAATGGTGATTTTCTTGGCCGGTGGGGGGGATTCGTGTTCGAACTGGTGACCTTGGCATTAACAAGGCTGCATTCTAACCAACTAAGCTAACTGGCCAGCCCTTAAGTGTAAACTGAGTCTGTTAACTCACGCAGTCCTTGCAATCACTGTAGTAGGTAAGTACTGTTATTCTTCCCATTTTATAGATGAGAAAACTGAATCACAAAGTGGTTAAATAAAAATAGCTATTATTTATTGAGCACACACCTTGTACCAGGTATTATGTTAACTGCTCTATGTGTAACAACCCTAAAAGGTAGATGCTATTATTATTCTATTTTACAGATAAGAAAAAGTGGTTCAGGGGAGTAGATTGACCTGTTTAAGGTCAGGTAGCCAGGAAGTGGTGGAGCCAGGAATTCAAGACAGGATGTCTGACTTCAAAGCCTGGGGAGGTAGCTTAGCTTTTACTTGTTAATGCATCAGTGTTCTCTGGAAGACTTCCATTTGGAGAATTAAAGATTTCAGCTGCTAAAACAGCTAAGTTTTTTGTTTCGTTTTGGTTTTTGTTTTAAGAAACTGGATTGTATGATCCCTAAGGCTACCTCCAGCATGGTATTCATAGAAAATATAAACCACTTCCTTTAAGATCAGAGCTTACTCATTTTCTCACCTTGAAACACACTTTACCTTCATTTTTAATACAGAAAGCTTTCTCCTGATAAGCAACTTACTTGAGTCATTTGGGCCATTCCCCTCCTCTCCACCTTTTGTTGGATGATCAGACTTCACTCTATTAGCTGAATTTATTTTGAAACCTGAGGTATAGGCCTGAAGGAACAAAAGAATCATTGTATTAATGTTGGCATCAGTATTTACTGCTCGTTCAGTGGCTATTTACCTGAATGCCTATTACACACCAAATAGTAAACCCAACAGTAAACTGAATGAGGTTTACAGAGATTTGATAGGCAAGCCCGCTTTCCTGGGGATGTTGTGAACTGCTAGGGTATGTAAGAAAATGGAGAAGCAAGGGCCGGCCTGTGGCTCACTTGAGAGAGTGTGGTGCTGATGACACCAAGGCCACGGGTTTGGATCCCTATATAGGGATGGCCGGTTAGTTCACTTGGTAGAGCATGGTGCTGACAACACCAAGTCAAGGGTTAAGATCCCCTTACTGGTCATCTTTAAAAAAAAAAGAAAAAGAAAAGAAAATGGAGAAGCAATACAGAAAGAACTAAATTGTATATAGATGTGACCTCCGATGCCCAGGGCCAGTCCTAGGTAATGTGGAGCCTTGAGAATAGGTAGGATTTAAAAATAACAATTTTTAGAATGGTTGTGAGAGAATAAATTCAGAAAAGTATAAACAAAAATACAAATGGTCCACAGTCTTCTCACCTAGCTAGAAATGAAAGCAACACACATGAAAAATTCAAACAGTATACAAAGATAAAAGTTAAATGTTTATTTCTCTTATCCCCAGAAATCGTCATTTTATTTTATTTTATTTCATTTTTGGCAGCTGTCCATTATGGGAATCTGAACCCTTGACCTTGGTGTTGCTCCAGCCAACTGAGAATTGAGCTAACTGGCCAGCCCTAGAAATTGTTATTTTGATAGTTTCTCATGCATCTTTATATATATATAAAATCTTTATCTGCCAGCATATCTATGGGTATCCTTGAAAAAAATTTTTTTTTTTTTTTTTTTAACAAAAAAGGGATCATGGCTGGCTAGTTAGCTCATTTGGTTATACTGGTACTCAAAACACCAAAGTCTGGGGTTCAATCCCTGTCCCAGCCAGCCAAAAAAAAGGGGGGGGGGCTACAAGGGTTCAGATCCCCTCATTGGCCAACATCATATTTTTTCTTCATCTTGTTTTTTTTTTTTTTTTTACTTAATAATGTATTGTGGATATTTTCCCCCTTAGGCACAAACAGATCTACTGTATTCTTTTTGATAGATAACTGTATAATACTCCTTGAAATGGATCTACCCAGTTTATTTAACCAGTCTATTAATCAAGACAAATTGCTTTTAGTTTTTTGTTTCTATGAACAGTGCTTTCAAGGAACAGCTTTGTGTGTGTTTAGAACATATCTGAATTAGAACATTTACTTTTTGGAATGTATTTGAAGAGTATACTTCTTGCAATGGAATTACTAGGTCACGGGGTAGGATCATTTAAAAATTAGGTATGTATTGCGAAATTGCCCTCTAGAAAGGTTGCCTGTGTATCCTCTTATCTGGAGTGTGGGAGCCTGTCTCTGCTTCCTTGTACTTTCACCAGCATTGATGTCCTCAAACTTTAGTGTTTGCAGATCGGATAAGTGAAGAATGGTATCTCCTTCTTTTACTGATTTGTATTTGTCTAGTTTAGAATGACCTTGAGCATCTCTTCATGTGTTTACTGGTGAGAATAGTTAAGATGTTGATATGCATGGATAGCCACAGGCTGGTGAGCACTGCAGGAAGAGGTGCCTAAGCAGGTGCAGAGGTAAAGCATGGGCAAAGTGTTGAGGGAAGACTTATTCAACAAATACTTACTGTGCACTTATAATATTTAAGGTGCTGTGAGGATACAAAGCTGTACAAGGAACCTTGTCTGCTAAGACACATGTGTGTTCCTTACCAAGCTTGAAAATTCTAGGTGCCCACAGGCAAGGTTCCAGGAGGAAGCCTCAGAAGTTCAGAATCTGGGTAGGTCTGTCCCTTTCTTGCTGGGAGTGTCCTGGTATCTTGGCAGGGCTTTGAAGGATAAGGAGGGTTTGGAAAAATGGAGATAGGGATGGGGGTAGATAACAACCAAAGACCAGATTAGCTTGAGGCCCCTGAGGTGGGGGCCTGGAGGTGGGGGATGAGGCTGACAAGAAGGTTAGAGGTGAGCCTGAATGCTAGCCTGGAAATGGAAAGTGGTTGGAGGTCTTCTCAGCTGCCCCCTTTCTTTCTTTCTTTCTTTTTTTTTTTTTTAAGGCTGTAGATGGCATAGGAAATACAGTCGGCCAAAGATCTGATAGTTCCACAAATTTGCAGTAAAAATAAATTTAAAGAAAAAAAGGAAAACTTAAAAAAACAATTTGGGGACACATTCTTAAACCAGTCCTGACCTTGCTTTTACTTTATAAACTCAGCAGTTATACAGAATTAATACCCAATACGTAAATACTGTAGAAAGACAACCCCTGGGTCAACATTGGTTAAAATGTTTCTAGGGAATGTTGAGGAAGTTTTGAGAAAGCCTGTACTCCTATACCATTGGCTGGTGGGAGTGTGAATCCGTGTAATTTCTTTGCAAGGTAATTTGGCAACATTTTCTCAGAACTTAAAATGCAGGGCCGAGCCCGTGGCGCACTCGGGAGGGTGCGGCGCTGGGAGTGCAGCAGCGCTCCCGCCGCGGGTTCGGATCCTATATAGGGATGACCTGTGGTTCGGATCCTATATAGGGATGACCCGTGCGCTCACAGCGCTCACTGGCTGAGCGCGGTGGGGCCCGTCTCAAAAAGGACAAAAATAAAAAAAAAAAGAAGTTAAAATGCATATATCCTTTGACCTAGGATACATTTTAAGAATGTATCTCACAGACATACTTGTACACATCACAAGAAATATGTGGGGGGATATTCCTTGCAACATTGTTTCTAACAATGACAGCAACAAAACACACACATAGGTACACTAAAGTTCACAGGGAGCTAATTAGGTTAAGCCTATACAGTCAAGAGCCATGCAATTGTTAAAAGAACCAGGTAGATTTAATCATATGCTGACATGATTAATCTATAAAATGTAACTGAAAAAAGTCAAGGTGAAGGGAGTAGCTTCGGTTTGTTTTTATTTGTATTTAAAAGGAATTAAATGAAAATAGAGGCTATAGAAAGTGTCAGCAATAACTGCCTCTGGGGAGTGGGACTGATGAGGGACAGGGAAAGAGAAAAGCATTTATTTTATATTCTAAAATAAAATACATGGACCGGCCCGGTGGCGCACTGCTACAGTGCGCCGCTTGGGAAGCGTGGCGGCGCTCCCGCCGAGGGTTCGGATCCCACATACAGACCGGTTCCCGCTCACTGGCTGAGCGAGGTGCAGGGAGCAACGCCGAGGGTTGCGATCCCGTTGCCGGTCCCGGGCCGGCACTGGCGTGACACTGAGGGTTGCGATCCGTTGCCAGTCATGAAAAAAGACAAAAAGGAAAAAAAATAAATAAATAAAATAAAATACATGTTAGAATAAAATAATACAGAACCCCAGTGGTTACGTGTGCAGAGTTTAGTGTGTCATAGGAGTAGGTGCATTTGGCAATTATACTACACATACAACTTTGGGGACTTTGAGCTAAAGTAGATGCCTATAATCTTTTTTGTTTGGTTGTTTTAATATCGTGTTGCTCCTGGAAGGTGGATCAAATGGTGTAGGGACTTATAACTATGGCTATGATCATTGTTACCATTTGTTTAGCTTCTAGCCTGGTGCTGTGCTGGAGGCTTTGCATATGCTACCTTTAGTATTGTTCTGGAAGCTATGCGTTATTACTTGTTTTCCCTGTGGGACACAGGGGCTAAGTGACTTGCCCAAGTTCACATGAATGCTCAAAAGCAGAACAGTCATTTACATCTGAGTCTCTTAAACTCTGGCATCTTGGGCTGGCCAGTTTGCTGAGTTGGGAGAAAGTGCTGGTAACACCGAGGTCAAGGGTTCTCTGGATTCTTAGTTTTCCCCATTATTCAACATGCACTATCCATTAGGGGGAACATAGGAAGGTAATGATCCATGTCTCAGTCTGCTTAGGCTGCCATAACAAAATACCATAGAATGGGTGGCGTAAACAACAGACCTTTCTTTCTCACAGTTCTGGAGGCTTGGAAGTCCAAGATCAAGTGCTGATGAGGGATCTTTCTGGCTTGTAGAGGTCGACCATCTCTCCATATTCTCACATGGCAGAGGGACAGAGAACTCTGGTGTCTCTTCTTATGAGGGCACCCAGCCCTAGGGGGTTAGGGCCCCACTCTTATGACCTCATTTAACCTTTATCAGCTCACAGGCCCTATCTACATATACAGTCAGTTTGGGAGTTAGGGCTTCAAAGTGTTAAAATTTACTATTTTGTTATACAAGTACAAGATGTTTATGGGGGTGGGGTAGAAAATATGGAGAGGCAAAACAAGAAAATAAAAATCATCCAAAGCTCACCACACAGAACTAACTGCTCTTAATGGTTTGGTGATTTCCCCTTCCAGACCATTTCTCTCTGTGTGTGTGTGCACGCGCGTGTGCGCGCACGCGCCCTAGAGATGTATGTGTGTACACACACAATCTCTCAATGTATGTCTCCCAGGTATCCCAATAAAACATTCCTGTTTTTCAGACAATAGAGTGACATAGATATATCGACATTGGTGATGGGTATTGTGAACATTTGTAACTCTATTTTTGTCCGGCTGGCTGGTAGGGGGATATGAACTCTTGATCTTGCTGTTACAAGGCTGTGCTTTAACCAACTGAGCTAATCAGCCAGCCCCTGTAACTTTAAGCTGATCAAAACATGTATCACCACTTGTCTGTTATTCTTCTCTCTCAAGGGTCTAGAGTTGGATGGGACGTGGCACACTGACCCAGGTGTAGAAATTTTACTGATGTTCTCTGTTCTCTTCACAGCAGTTCTCAGCCCTCACAGAAGTGCTTTTCCACTTCCTAACAGAGCCAAAAGAGGTAAAAGATTCTGTGATAAAGAGAATTCCCAAGCATGGGTCTGTGGTCCTCAGGTCCTTAGAAAGTGAAGGTCTGGTTTGTGCTGTTCCCTCTCTGCAGGTGGAAAAGTTTCTGGCTCAGCTTTCTGAATTTGCCACCACCAATCAGATCAGTCTTGGCCCCCTCAGAAGCATCGTGAAAAGCCTCCTCCTGGTTCCAAATGGTGAGTAGCCTCTCTTAGCAGCTGTGGCTAGAGGTGTTCCTTGAACGTTCCTTTAATCCACGGAGTCATCGAAGCATGCTGTGGGCACTGAGCCAGAGCATTCAGTAATGAGCCAGACATAGGTGGGGCTCACAGTCTTGGCGGGAACCCAGGTAAGTAGGTAAGCTTAGTGTAGTGGGATAGAGGTGCCCTCTAGAGCAGCATGATGCAAAGTTCAGTCTGCGTCTTGGTTCTTTCCCCAAACTGTTCTCTTGGCCTCTACGCAATTAAGTACTGTTATTGAGAGTAGATATTGAGAAATTATTATTTGACAACACTCTTGAATGTAATACTTTTTTTTAAAAATGGGGCCTTTTTTTTATTGTGGTAAAATACACATAAAATTTACTATTTTCACCAACTGGTACTTGTATTTTGTATTTTTTTTTTTCTTCATTTTCTAGGAATTCATTTTCATTGCATTTTACGAAGAATGGTGGTCCGTGATAGATTGAAAATTAAAAAGATAGATCCTTTACCACGTTTGTTTTGAGAAGCAGAGTTTGCCTAGAGCAATCAGGAAAAGTTTCGAGCCAAGAGGGAGTTGGTCACAAAGGTTTAGCTATATGCAAGGGTTCGGATCCCCTTATTTAAAAAATAAAAAGGTTTAGCTGTAGAAGCTTTCCTCGTAGCATTGTTTATGTTGGTGAAATATTAAAAACAAGCAAACTGCCTGGTAGTAGGAGACTGGTTTAATAAGCTGTGGTCGGTCTTTACAGGGAAACATCATGGTGGTCAAAAGTTCATACTTGCAAGTTAGGTGGATCCAGGTTTGAATCCTCGTCTATTACTTGCTAAGTAGTGTGCCTTTTGCCACGTACCTGATTTTTCCTGAACCCTAGCAACAACCCCTCCCTAGCAGTGTCCCCCTCATCTAAGCTCTTTTTTTTTTTTTTTTTTGGATGGGGGTAGGGAGAATTGAAGATTAACTGAGATAATGTAGGGCTGACCAGTTAGCTCAGTTGGTTATAACACCAAGTTCAAAGTTTCTGATCCCTGTGCTGGCCAGCTGCAAAAAAAGAGAGAGGGAGAGAGAGAGATAACATAAATAAAATGCTTAGTACAAGTGCCTCAATAAAAGGTTGCTCATTTTTTCCTGTTACACAGTAATTTAAAAAGGTGCTGGTGGGCCGGCCCGGTGGCGCACTGGAGAGTGCGCTGCTTGAGAGCGCAGTGGTGCTCCCGCCGAGGGTTCGGATCCCACGTGGAGACCGGTTCCCGCTCACTGGCTGAGCGCGGTGCGGGCGCAACACCGAGGGTTGCGATCCCGTTACCGGTCAGTAAAAAAGACAAAAAGGAAAAAAAATAAAATAAAATAAAAAATAAAAAGGTGCTGGAGAGGAAAATGTAATGATATGGAAAACCTTTCACAATATACTATTTAACAAAAATAATAGTTTATAAAATATAATATACTATTTAACAAAAATAATAGTTTATACGCCATAGGCTGGTTTTTTTTTTTTTTTTGGCTGCTGGCTGGGATGGCGATCTGAATCCATGACCTTGGTATTAAAAGGCTGCACTCTAAGCTCTAACCAACCAAGCTAACCAACCAGCCCCCTAAGGCCTATTTTTGTTTTCTAAAAAAAAGGAAAAAAAAGTTAACTGTGGCTATATATGGGTGGTAGGACTCCAGGGTTTTTTGTTTTGTTTTGTTTTGTTTTTTCTTTTCGGCTGGACGGTACCACGATTGAACCCTGGACCTTAGTGTAATCAACACCACACTCTAACCAACTGAACTAAGTGGCGTTTATCTGCCAGCTCTAGGACTCCAGGACTCCAGGTTGTTTTAATTGTATATTTTTGGCTGTGTATTATCTGAGAAGTTGCTAGTAATAATTTAGCAATTTAATTAAAAGTTAATGTTATTTAAAGAGAGAGGTGACATTTGAGCCTAGTCCTAAATAATCAGTAAATGTTGACCAGGCTGAGGAGAGATAAAACAGCATCCCTGATTTGTACATTTTATATATGAGTAATAAGCTGATCTTCCCAAAGTCTCAACCCAATGGCATATTAAAAGTTGGGGGCTTAATTTGTTTGTTCCTGTTGGGCTTCTTCCCGTAACTTAGTGAAGATCCTTTCCTTTGCCCTGTAGTGTGCTCCAACTAGAACACTCCGGAGATTTTCAGCTGTGAAATTTTCTGATCTTCTGTTTTTATGACTCTTTGCCTTCATGGCTGGGTGAGAGCTTGAAGACTTTTCTAATACGAGAATAGATTTTTGTTATGAACTTTTAAAACAATGCAGAGCTATGGAGAGTCAGAAGTGAAAATTCTCCTCTCACTCTCATCCTATTTTTGTCCCTAGAGATAATCACAATATAATTTTAGTGTATATCCTTTTACATTTTTTATAAACCTGTGTTTTATATTTTTACACTAACAGACACTCACATATATGTTCACGTACTTTTGTTCTTCATAAATGGTAGCAAACTATGAAATTGCTCTGCAGCTTGCATTTTTTCATACCTGATATGTCATGGAGATCTTTCCAAGTCAACTTTATTCTTTAGGTGGCTATAGTGTACCATAGGCTGAATGTGTCCTCTTTAAGTTAATCCATTTCCTGTTGCTAGATGTTTTAGTTGTTCTGTTTTTTCACCCTGATAAACAGTGCTGTAGCAAACATCTTTACTACTTTCTACTCACGAATGTGAGTATTTCTGTTGATAGGTGCCTGCAGTGCAGAACTGCAAGTCTTTATTCTCATTCGCTAGCCTGTGTACCCAACAGCTATTGTGCACACTGATTTTCAGGAAACCTCTATCTGGTGTCTCTGCCTCCATTTTTTTTTTTTTTGGGTGGCTGCCCGTGTGGGGATTTGAACCCATGACTTTGGTGTTTTAAGGCTGCACTCTAACCAATTGAGCTAACCAACTGGTCAGCTGTCTGCCTCCATTCTTTTTTTGGTGGGGGGGCAGCTGGCCACCTGCCTCCATTCTTTCCTGTCTTTCTTCTCTCTGCTCCCCACCGCACTCTATATTGCCACACTGCCTTCAGTTGTTCCCAACTCCTGGTCCCAGCCCTGTGCTGCCTCTTTCAGAAAGCCTTCCTAAATCACTTCAGTCCACAGTGTTTTCCCCTTCTTCTCAGGGTCCAAGGTATGCTTTTTACCTGCACCTACCATTGTGGAGCACAATCATTTACAGTTTTCTGTTGTTCATGCTGTTTCACATGTGTCTGTCTCATGGCTCTAACAGATTGTCCCTAGAAGTCAGGGGTGGGTCTTGGACCTCTTTCCTAAGTCAAGTTTCCAAGCAAAGTAGTAACATAAGAAGGTGCTTAGTACATGCTGGGTGAGTTGAACTGAATTTAGGAGATGCTGTGATCCTCCTAGGGGATGTCGAGTTTACATTTTTCAAGCATTATTGATTATCAGTATTTATAGGAGATCCTTTTCTATAGATACAGAGAACATTGAGGAACTCCTAGCATTCAGTCGAGAGAAGGGGTTTATGGGTTCAGTTGGATTTGAGTCTTGGTCACGTCACTTAATGTAGCTATTTGGCCCTGGACAAATCAGCCTCTTGGAGTCTCAGTTTCTGATCTGAAAAGTGGAGTAATAAGAGGAGATTGTGGTGGTGGTGTTAGGAATAAATGAGTTAATATATATAAAGCACATAACACTGTGCTTGCTAAACTGTAGTCTTTATTTATTGATAGATCTGCCAGCTTTCAGTCCTATGCCTCAATATCAAAACATGAGATAAAACTTTCCTTCACCTAATGGGGAGGATCTGAAATCATCTCTTAGGGCTGGCCGGTTAGCTCAGTTGCTCAGAGCACGGTATTAATGTCTCAAAACTTTTCAAGTTCTAGAATTAAGGTCTCTGGTTTGCTGTACTTCTCAGTTTGCTCTCAATAATTTCGGTATATTTTATTCTTCTTTTTGTTCTCATGATGGTCTAACTTTACTTTTCCTGAAAGTAAGTTTTCCTGCTTAAATTCCTCATTTCTTCTAGAGCATCTCCTAAGCACCTGAGATTGGAGCTTGGAAGACTCTTGTTCCCTTCTTATCCTTTGGCTTTATGTACCTTTCTTTCCAGTCCTAAAGACTGCCATCCCAGAGCAGGTTCTTAGCCCTTCATGCCTGTTTATGGCAGTAACATTTTCGCCTCTATTCTCCCATCCCAGACTCCAGTTAGCCCTGGAGCACACTTTCTGTAGCACACCTTGGATCGTGCTGCTCCTCTCAACTATGCACTATGCATAATGAAGTCTGCAGTCCTTAGACTGGCATTCAAGGCCTTTCTCAATTAAATCTGAAGTGTAAAAGCCTTCAGGCCCTCATCTTGCTCTTCTCTCATCCTGGTCATGCCTGTGCAGTAAGACCTCGTTGTAGAAGTATGGCTCGTTAGAGTTGAAGGGGCCTCAACAACCCACCAGATTAGTCTTCCCCAAATTGGTGTGTTCATCAATAAAAGGCTTTAGTGGTCAGACAGAATCACAAAATACTGTCCCCCCATGTCAACCTTGGAATCTTGGAGGTTCACATTAACATATCTCAGGCTCTGAAAAGTCCTGCAATAAAGAAACCTGCTTAACCAGTATCTGTGAAATATAGTTAACTGTGGAACTGTTCTTTTTTTTTTTTTTTTTGGCAGGAGGGTCAAATACAAGCTTTGTAAAATGCTGGTCTTTGTCTTATATATATATATATTTTTTTTTCTTTTTTTTTTTAAAAGATGACTGGTAAGGGGATCTTAACCCTTGACTTGGTGT